AAGCCTCACACCCAGTGAAGGTATCAAACACTTTTTTTCCTGGAACTTTGTCGTCGCCTGTAGCTCAGCCAGGGACTTCACTTCCTTGATGGGAATCACCAGGAGTTTGACCGTTGCATTGTAGCAGTCGGTGATACTGAGTGTGTTTTCCTCTAGGGAGAACGCACCAAATACGTCATTCTGTTGATACATAGATGTGATTTGATAATTTATTCTTTTTTATAATAAGTTATTTTCTGATACGCCATACTGTTGATACAAATTTAGGATTTGATACATCATTCTGTTATTACAGAGTCAGAAGTTGACACTACGTTCTTTTTTTATGAAAAGTCTCCTCGCTGATAGATCTTTGTTATTTCTTATAGTTTAAATTTTTTTTTAAATAATTTAAAAAAAAAACTATCTATAGTAAAATAAAATATTCATAGATAAAGCACAATTTTTGAACGCTTTGAAAAGCAACTGCAATGTGATGCTTAACAAAATTAAAAAAAAACCAAAAGGGATTGACATGAAGACCAGCAAGCAGACAGACAGACAAGACCACACACAACAACATAAGACCAGAACAGAACAGCTAGTGACTTACAAAATATAGACATATATGCTGTCAAGGAGATTGACTGACAATAGACATAAAAAGTTTATCGTTTATGGTATAAAACATCTAACTTAAGACAAATTGTTCTGACCTCTCACACAGACCCACCTTTTTGACCTGTATCTGACTCCCCACAGGAACGTTGAAGGTCCTGATCCATTTCGGCTCACACTTGACGCTGTTGTTGCCGATAAATTTGTAGTCTGACCTGGAGACGTAGGTCAAGGTATTACATATGCTCTAACAATCTTGCTGACCAGTATGTGGACATGTTCATCTCACTGACTAAACATTGTACATTTACCTACATGTTGATGTAACTATTCACATACTACATTACCCAGACTATAGCCAGTGTTTTGGCTTCCTTTGAACCAAATTGCATCAAATCAAGTCAAATTGTTAGTTAAATGATAAATTAACTGATCCAGAGTACTCGTGTAAGATGGAATTGCGTGGTCGGGTGGTAGAGAGCTCGACTACCAACCTGAAAGTCTCAAGTAGGAACTCAGAATGTAGTTTGCAGAACGTCCCTGAATCTACCCAGCTCTATTGATACCAGATTTATGGTAACGAAGGTTAAAGCTTCATAACATACTGTTGGTAATTTCATTCCGTTATATACAAGGGGTCAATTAACAAATAAATCACTTCATCATCCATATGTATTATTAGGTTCGATAGCGAAACTTTTACTCTTGGAAGATTAAACTGAGTTTTTTACGAAGACCATTTTTTTTTAGATGTGGTAGATAAACAAAATACTGAATCAAATCGATTGTAGGTACCCATTACAACTCCGTTGATTAAATAATGTATTTTTACACAGAGAAACTAAACCCTCACAGACACTTAAAAAGATTTTTGAACAGAATTACTGTTTAAAAAATGTTCAAATAAATGTGTTAATTGGGTTGAGAGAAAATATTAGTTTAATTAATGTATTAATGTTAGAGTTAACACTTTATGCAGCGATTGAATAGAAACGTTACCCTGTTGTTCTGAAGACGATGAAGTCAATCTTGCCTGCTTGTTGACAGTAGTAGAACCACTTCGTTATTTTACCGTTGAATGGGATTCTGTGGAGCAATGATTGTGGACGTGTAGGGGGGTGGGATATTAAAGGAATTTTTAACTAAAGAAGTAACTGAAGTTGAGGTTAGAAAATTGCACTTCTAATAGTAAGACGCCTTAGGAGAATAAATTACAGGTAAATAATTAGAACATTGCACCTGTAATTGACATCATCCAACAGAAAGGCCACTCCCTTTGGTAAATCTTCCCGGCGTTTTCTGATTTTCTTAAGCTGAATGTCTACAGCAATCGGTGTACCTGTTTGTGGGATGTTGTCTCTTTTAGATTTATTCCATGTTCAAACTAATGAAACTTTATATATGTATGTATATATATATATATATATATATATATATATATATATATATATATATATATATATATATATATATATATATATATATATATATATATATATATATATATATATATATATATATATATATATATAAAACGAGGCGGCAATTATCTTGTTTAAATTATTTCTATTTAGTGTGCCTATCAACAGCGATACTCAATACCCCCATGTAACGTACTACGCATTGATCCCTATCAAATATACCATACTCAATTTTCATAACGAACTTTCTAAGAAATGCCATACTCAATTCTCTTTAACATTTTATTTATAGCAAAACATTAACGTAATCTTGTCCACGTTGAACGCTCTATGACAGTTAACTGGGCTTCAGTTGTTTGACTGATTTCCTATAAGGTTGGTAACTCCGGAACTGGTTTACCCTTAATGCTGGATGCCACTACATACACCAAAATGTATCAGTTTTATAAGGCATGACGTTTTCCATTCGTGAAGAATCAAATCTACTCACTCTGGCAAACAGGTTCTGACCCTAGCAGTGCACCGGAAACGGAACACGCCCTCTGCAGGTCACCACTGACGTGATAGGAATCATTCTGACACTTAAAGGTCATGACCTGACCAGGGGAAATAGCTTCTGCTTTAGACGTCCGGGAATATTTTTTTCCTAGAGGATCTTTGCACTGGGTTTTTCCTGAAACAGGATAAAATTGTCACTTTAGGATTACAGTTTAGCGGGGTAGGACTTTACTCTCCCCTGACATATCTTCGTGCCATTAAGTCCAAGTCAATAGCCCCTACTATTTACTAGTTGCTAGTGGTCGGCAGTAATGTTGAGTGGCTAAAGCAGATATAAATTATATCATTTTTTATTAGGGGTATTGCTTGTATTCTTTCTAGAAAAATCATTCCCTGATTTAGATAGATTTAGTAAGTCATAAGGAACACATTTTGTCGTTTTATATGAAATCTATAATCAACGCTAACACCATTTAAAGTTAAATGTTATACATAAAAACAACTAATGACTGAGATTGTTTTCACATGAGCTGTTAAATGCTACCTGGACATCCGCCACAAGTTTTCTTACAGTAGGTCAAGGCTGAATTAGAAGAACGTTTGGAAATGCAAAACTCTGGGAATTTGGCCAAAATATTTTTACAGTTTTGGATTTTATCGTCACACGCGCCAGCAACTGAAACAAACACAAGTCAAGAAATTAGCTGACAAACAACAACTGTCAATTTATTTATATGTGCCAAGATTTTTATCCACCAATTATCTCAAGTAAGCGACCAGACACTCAAAAACGTTAATACTCAGATTGATAAAAAGATAAAATTTAATGGAAGCAAGTTTTATTGCAGTAGCTTTCTTCTAATGTACATCTTGAACAGCTAATTTAACTAAATAGCATTTTAAAGTTTGAAAATACTTTAATTTGTATCCTTCAGTTAGATCGCTGATCGAATTTCAATAACATATTAAAACTATATTGTCGAATTATAGTATTAAATTTAATTGCAACGTTTTCTAATTCCACAAAAAATCATTAATTCAATGATGTAGTATTTTAGTCTGATAAGTATAAAAGGCAAAAATATTAGGATGTTAAAAATCCCACCGCTACAGTTTAGCGCCTGACCCGACCATCCAGTTTTGGTACATCTGATAATGTTGACTAAAGAACCGGAAGTTGTACATGTGACGTTGATAACCTCCCCTTCCTTGTACACACTCTTCAATCCTCCAGCGGCGTACACATCAGATGGTAGGCTGGGTTGGATGCATGTTGCTAAGGGATAATAAAAGTAACATTATTTTAACATCACTTTTCTTCCTTCACTTTTTATAACATCTCAGACAAACTCGAACATTTATTAACTGGTTGGGGCACACACGATGATAGGTTTTACTCTAATGTAAGACGGTATGGAATCCCCAGGTAAAGCGAAAGAGACGGACTCAAGATAGACCTGGAAACGGAGTCTACTTGAAAAACTGAAAACAGCAGAGATGACACGGGAGATTACAAAATCAATAGCCGGTGACCATGCAAGGTGGAAGAGGATGGCTGAGGCCCTATGTTCCACAAGGAGCAAAGAAGTCAAGTCTTAATAGTGAAAGAACTCATAAATTTGCGTCAACTGACCTGGCTTATATTTCTGTGAAGAATTACCGCACGTGCTAAAACATCCAAAACGTTCAACAGCACTTGTGCAAAAATCTAGGACACTTTCCTTCAGTTTGGAACAGTTGCTTATCATGTTAACCGGGGTTACTATACAGAATTTCAGTCATATATATATATATATATATATATATATATATATATATATATATATATATATATATATATATATATATATATATATATATATATATATATATATATATATATTAGGGCATGTATATAGAGTGTAAATAATAATACACTTTCTTTGATATAATATATTTAGTTAACAATATATGTAAAGTGCCAATTTTTAACTCTAAAGCTTACATATGTTACAGACGTCACAGTAACGTTTATGACAAACGTCGCCATCAACAAATGTATAACACCAAGGCTGAAGGAGAGATCCGTTTGGGTTTCTACAGTTACTTCCGCTTTCTAACAGGGAAATCCCGTTCATCCTGTGATAGTCGCAAACGCATGAAAAACGTATGGGGAATAGCACACATTAAATGTTTAACCATCTAAAAGTGTTTTAAAAAACTATTGTCAATGGAAATGAACACAAAACCAGTCTGCAGTTCTTTATCAGCACGTCTAGCGCGGGGTAGGAGTGTGTATGTGTGTTTTTCTGAAAGGGGTGACACCCTGGTCACCTGACCAAGTGACGCCAATGAGGTACCTACCGTATGTTTTGTCAAGATCTTGTCATGACCTTGATAAAGGACTACACAAAAAATGCATACACTCTTGATAGATGCACATGTCTGATAGGCAAAATGTCAAGTAAATTTAAATGGTGTTGCATCCAGTAAATACAATTTTAC